GAAGCGGCTTTAGATTCTCAGTGCTGTGCTTTAACCCGCGGCGCCACCAGGAGGGCCAAAATACTGTTGTCTTTTGGAGAGATTTTCAGTTTAGATCTAGGTAAAAATTTCAACTCTAAACTTTGTATAGTGAACTTAGTCAATTCATTGTGTAGTGAACAAGATTAATCTAACTAAGCCTTAGTCTCTTTACGGTTATTGTGGGAGTTAGTATGTGTAAAAGGAAAGTGTCAAACAGGTAGGCACACAGCACACAGTTTACAGAAGGTAGCAATTCCTTCTCTGTTCCTGATGTAGCAGTAGTTATGTGAACATGGCTTCTCCTGACCCTGATTCTCAAGAGATAATATTTAGCCTTCTGTGGCCTCTTGCATCCTGAGCACTTCTTTTCTCTACAGGACTGCTCATCTATACCAATTTTGCCTAATTGTCTGTTTTTTATGCAAGTGACCCTGAACATCTTTCACAGAGTCTATCAGGAAGTAGCTGGATTAATTTTATAGATTTTCTGAGCTTTTATTGATAGTAGAAAAGGGGAGTGTGAAGGAGTCAGTCTTTGCTTTAGATCTGCGACGTGAAAGATTGGAAATCATGAAGGGTGAGAGAAGGATGATGTCTGTGGCTTCTTTGACCTCATACTGCTGAATTTCCAAATGGCTTTAGGTATAAGCTAAGAAAATGAGGGAAAAGACACTCGACAGTGATATTTTAGAAAGGTATAATCTGCAGGTAAATATCTTTGTTTGGAACATAGAGCATTATGAAAAAAAATTGGTTGCAATTTTTTTTCCACAAGCAGAGGTATAATTATTATGATTATAAAATAAAATTAAATATATTCTTTTATGGTTGTTTCTTTGCCCTCACTGCAATGTAAAGCTTTGTGAGGTTAAAAATCATTGTTGATTTATCTACTCTATATCCTGGAGCACTTAAACTGGTAAATGTGAAATATTAATTGTATGAATAAAATTATAAACAGGGCATAGGAATTCTTTTTCTGCCGGGTATTCATTCGAAAACATGAAGGTTAAAATGAACACTCTGAAAGCATAAAAACCTATATGCTCACTAAGTCTTTCCATATCCCAGTCAAGTGAATGTATGTGAGAGAGGAAAAGAAATCCTGTAGGGCCCTCCCTGGTGGCACAGGGGGTTAAAGCACAACACTGTGGAGCTGTCCACAGCCACTGCAGCATGAATTCGATCCCTGGCCATGGAGGTGACCCACATGGCTCAGCGGACCTCTCCTGTCCTGCCTGCTGCTCCTGTTGGCAGTGTATTTCATTCAGTGAATCTGCCTGTCTGCTCCCCACTTTAGCTCTGGTGAATCCTCTCACCCCCTGTACCTCTGGCCTATATCCCAGTTCTTATATGGATAAGTAAATAAAAATATTAAAATAAAAGTGTATTCTTGGGCCAAGAATATATGCCAAGAAATCCTGTAAATCAAGAGCATCTTTCCTGATGTAGAATACCATCTTAAGAGAAAGAGGAAATCTTAAGAAAGGAACAGGAAGACTGAGAATATCTTCCAAGGGTAGCAAATGATTCAATAGGAAATGGTCTTAACTTTGCAGAGTATGAAGTCGCTAAATGGTTGCAGCTCCAAGAATACAGTGTGGGTTTAAAGGCAATAGGCCCTACACAACAGTATGGTAGTTATCAAGTTGCCTCCATCGTTTAAGTGCTCACGGCCCTGCCTTCCCTTGAACTCTCTCTCTGCAGTGCTGTCAGCAAGCTCCCAGAAAGCTTTGCCTCTGCAAATTATCACAGGTGTCCCCCAGGCCCCAGCTCACCATGGAAAAAAGAGGAAAAGACAATTCTGTCTCAGAGATGGAAAATCTCCCAGAGAGAATCCCTGGCAGCTGGAATCCGGTTTCTTGATGTTTCCGAAACAGGAATCTGTTATAACGAGAGAACGCTGAAGGATAATGGGCTCCTGCTGCTCACCAAACACTCAGATAAAAAGCACAGAGGTGCCTCGCCAAGCAGTCTTTTCATAAAACAGTGGATTTCTGAACACATATTGTAGTAATTCTGTGACTAGCAGCTCCTGGCTGTGGCTCTGCTCTGTGCTTTTTTTTTTTCCCCCATTCAAAGGTTTTGATTAGGTCACTTCCTTTCTTCTTTGTATTTGAGACATGTGTGATTTAGGCTGCTACAAAGAGGGACTTGCGTTTTGATGACCTTCTTCGTTACTCACACCCATGGCTGGTCCAGTTCTTCTGCCTGGTCTGTCTTGTTCCAATCAGTGAGTAGTGGTGAGAGAAGCTTCTGGGCCGCCACAAATTCAAAAACACACTCATGACCTTGTCTTCTCATTCTTGAGATCTGTGCTCAGCTGTTTCAAACCTCCTGTGTCCTGGTTAGTAGGAAGCAATTAGAATCACTGAATCCTTTCCCTGTCATGATCAGAGGCAGCCAGCTTATGGTAATTTGGGTTTAAGTGCTAATAAGAAGAAAGATGTATTATTTAGGCCATCTTGACTAAAAGTGACAGAAACCCAACACAGGCTAGCTTAAACAACAAAGGAACGCACCAGCTCAGACAGCTGAAATTCAAGCAGAGCTGATGCTAAAGAGGCCCGCTAAAATGCTGAGAACCTACCCACAACCTCTGGCTCCTCTGTCTCAGACTCAAGTCTGTGCAACATGGCAGCAATATGGCTTCCAGTTTTTGTGGACCTGACAGCCTGTGACTCTCAAAGTAACATGCAGTGTCTCAGTAGCACACAGAAGCCCCTACGTCGACCCTGGAAGACTGGGTGTGAGTCAGTGCCCACCCCTGGGCACTCAGGGTCTCCCAAGGGGAGTCCCCTGACCAGCCCTCTGGGGTATGCCTGACCTTAGGGATAGCCAGCTTCCACTGAGACTTAAAGCTAAGACAGGCAGACTCTAAAAAGGTGGAGAGGATTTTTCTTAAAGGAAGTGTGAGGGGAAATTTCAGAAGATCTCCCCCACTTATCCCCTTTGGTTCTTTTGACTACCCCCAAATAAATGGACAGGAGAGAGGTTAGCAAGAGGATAGACAAATTTAATATCATGCATAAAATAGGGAATTTAGTGAATATCCAAAACAACCAGTTAGATAGCTTTTAGACAAAGAAGCAATAAATCTGTGTAGGGCTGACAGGACAAAGAAATTCTTGAAAGTTTTGATTCCAACAGTGAATTTGGTGAGCTAAGTAGAGCTTCCTGTCTTCCTGACGTAAGGTTGTCTTTCGATCTCTGTGCTGAGAGGGCACCTTTCACATAGAGATTCATTTCCTCCTTTCATGGGGAATAGAGAGCAGGAGGGTCAGAGACAATTCTTGCTTTTAGGAGAAAGGGAGGTTTAAGGTATCGTTTTTTTGCTGACTGTTTCTTTAGTTGAAAATAATATGCTACTTTGGCACATCTTGGGGTGACCTGATCTGGGACTCGACAGAAGGAATACCAGAAAGACAAAACACCATGTGCCCCCAAGAAATGAGGCTGTCCATAGAAAGTTTAGGTGGAACAGAAGAGTAACCTTATCTCGACAGCTCCCGGGGGCTGCCAGTACTTCTAGATGTGATTGCCAGCATGTGTCAGATGACAGAGTTTGAGAGCCAACCCTCCATGTCTGTCTCAGAGCCCAGCAAGTAGAGGCAAAAGAGGAGAAATGGTGGTGATCATTTCTTGGACCAGGTAGGAGTCAAAGTGAAGGGTGCTCTTGAGGAGCAGGCTGGGAGAAGGTGGCCATACCTACCAGGGGCAATCCAAGGACACACTCAGCAGTGGCTTTTAGGGGAGGAGGTAGTGATTGATAGCTGGCGGTTTTGCATGTGATTCTAAGTACAGGTCTTCTAGTTAATAACTATCTATCACTTCAGGACTCAGCCCAAATGCCACTTGGTCAAGGAGCCTTCTCTGGTCTCCAACTGTCCAGAGTCAGCTAGGGCCTCCGCTGGGAGCGCTCACCCAATACTGAGTGCTTTTCTGTCCCAGCACATTCCATGGTCATCTGTATGATCCCATGTAAAGCCATCTCATTTATGACTGTTCCATTAAGAATGATCTTTGACACTAGGAGGTAAGCTCCACCTGGGGCCATGAGCCTCAGTTTTGCCTGCCGTTGAATAACCAGTACTTAGCCCAGTGTCTTGCGCAGTAGTAACCCACAGTGCTTCTCTCTTTTGTTTTGTTTTAAATGATCATTATTTAATTAGACTCCTTGTAGGAAACTTAGAAACCAGTTTGTGAGGGTAAATTCCATAGATGAGAGCAAACAGAACAGAAGTCTCCTAGAGCCGGGGAATAGTTTAGACTTGGGGTAGAATTTGCTAGTCCACAGCTTTCTGGTCAACCTCATGCTGCTCTGTGATCTTGCATTTCTCCTTCCTGGTGTTGGGGCTTATGCAGCTGCCTTTTCTTGAAGTCATCATTAGGGAGATGATCTGGGATCTTCACACCACTGTTAGCAATTTTGGTGTAGGTGGTGATGACATACTTCTGGTGAGTCCTACTTTAGATGTCAGTCGAGGTGCAGAGGTTTGGTCATAGTAGGAAATCCTGCCCAGCTACTTCAAGAAAACCACTTTCTTGCCTCTGTGACATCCTGTTGATCAGAATGGAGCCAGGAGTGAGGCCAGGTCACCAGTTTCTCACCTGCTGGCTGAGGGTTTGTGTCTGGCTCAGCAGCTTTCAAGGCACCGCATCTTAATCCGATAATATCCACCATTCATGTCAGTGCCAGCTGGTTTTGAGACAGTAGCAAGAATCCTCTCCTTTTTCTTTTTAAAGATTTATTTATTTATGCACACAGAACTGGGGTACAGGCCAGAGGTGCAGGGGCTGTGAGAGGATTCACCAGAGACAGAATGGGGAGCAGAACAGGCAGATGGATGAGGTACACTGCTGAGGGGAGCAGTGGGCAAGACAAGAGAGCTCTGCCGCGCCATGTGGGTCACCTCTGCGGCCGGGGATCGAACTCTCACTGAAGTGGCTATGGCTGGCTTGCAGTGCTGCGCCCGAACCCGCTGTGAAGGCCTGGATTTTCTTTTCAGTCCTGGATTTAACTACTGAAAATTTCCTCTTGGACATGTCCTGGAATGCATAGCAGATTGGGAGTATCTGCCAGTTCCTCGGGTAGGACAGTGTTTGGCTGCAGTGGGGTTTCCTTTTCTTAAGGGTTTGGCCTTGGTCTTGTTAACATCAGCCTTCTCGGCTACAGGTTTCTTTTCTCTAGTAGCTGCCTTCTCAGCGTTTACACCTGCCATCTTGCAAGATGGAAAGAGGTGTTTTTTTTGTTTTGTTTTGTTTTGTTTTAGGACAAATGATTATACTTAACTTCTGGCAATAGCAACTGATCTTACTATGAAAATGTAACAAACTACAAACTTCTTTTGTATCTTATACTTTATATATAAATGAAAACATTTATTTCTCCACTTGGCTGAGTGAATTGGGTGCTATATTAGCTAGCCTGGGTAACCAAGAAGAAGATACAGACCAGAGAGTCAGCCCCTGAATAAATCAGGACCCACCTTTTAACTCACTGTATGTGAGTTAGATTTAAAAAATATATATATATACATATATATATATATATATATATAATCTATCTGGAATATAATCGGGAATTATAGGAATTTGAGAGCCAATGGAAGTTCTTGGCAGAAAACCAGGTCATGTCACTTCTGAATATTATTATTAACACTGATTTCCTCTTATAATCTCTAATTGTGTTGAATGGAAGTAAGTTAAGTAATAAAAATGAATGTCTGGAAAAAATAAAGGATGCCTAGATCCCACCATTTTGCTTAAAATTGGACAGTAACTTCAAGATTAGAGTGTGTAGATTAGATGCCTGGGCTTATATGTCAGCCTCCTCTGGTTTGAGCAACAGGAAAGTGGGATTATTACATTATTCAGTTATTTTAAAGGATCAATCAACATTATTTGATAAAATTTCTGTTTCTTTTAAAATGGACTTGATAGCAAAATATTCTTGAAAGCTTCTCTTATATAGCTTGGATTAGTAAGAGAAGAAACCACTGGATAAACTAATTGTTTTCAATCTTTTATTTTTTTCCCTAGTTCAATTGAAGATCTTCATGATGCTATGTTTAGTTTGATTTGCCTGGTCTCACTGGGCATTGCACTAATTCAGATTCTGGTTTGGAATCTGTTCTCAGTGAAGAGCAAGACAGACAACACAGAAATGCCTTAAAGCGAACGCCAGCATCATGGACTTAAAAAAATTCAGTTCTTACAGAATTTATATTATAGCAGAAAACAAAACTGTTCTTATAACCTGCAATTTCTTAAGAAAACAAAAACCCAACACATTTTAAGGATCTTTGACTCTACCATTAGAAAGCTAAATGTGAGTGAAGTCCTCTCTGTTCACTTTTTTCAAGTGATCTTGTAACCTGGAACAACCTGTCACTCTTCTTCTTTGGTTGCTGTATGAGTTACTGGAGACAGCTGTGTATCCCGTTTCCACGCTTACCTCACTAAAAAAGTTTTAAAGTGATTTCATGACTTTTGAACACGTTCAATTAAAGTCTATATTTCTTCTGTTAAGTGCCTCTTCTTGGTCTTTGCCCTGCAGAGTCACTCCAGCAAGATTCTGAAACTGTAACCTGGGATGGGCCAGGAAGAGGCCGTGTGGCTCGCACCCTGGGCACCTAGATGCACCTCAGGGCCATTAATAAACGCTAGGAGGCAGTAGAGCATCGTGTGAAGAATGCAGGTTTTGGAAACCTAACCACCTCGTTCACAAAATCTTGCCTCAAACACTTATTTGCTGGGCAATGGAAGCTTTCTGTGCCTTGGGTTCATCTTTTGTTGAAAAAAAACCCCCAAAAGTCAATAATAAGAGGATCAGCCTCATATTGTAGTGAGGATTAAAAGAGGTGACCAAGGTGAGACATTTGATGTCGAGCACCGGGCATGTGCCTTCATGATCTTAGTGTCACATGTGATATGTTTGCAGGACTGTTGAAGGAGGCTCTTTTTCTTGAGAATGAGGTTGCGATGCAGATCTTGAATTTCAGGAAGTAGAACTACATCTGTTTTCATTTCCGTGTACTTTCCCTCCTAGGTCTTCCCAGGTGACTGAGAAGGGGGAAGAAGGGGAGGAGGAGTGGGTAATGAATATGGGGGAGTTGGAAATGCAAGGATGTTGTTGGTGTCAGGGCATAAGGATCTGACAATTTGTCAAATACCCAATTCTCAAAACAATAGTTGTCTCCCTTATGAGCTTTGTCATAGGTATAAACTGTTATAGGTAGTGAATTATTTCCTAGCTATACAATACATAGAACACGTGCTTTTGATTTTCCACATGAAAACACGAATGGAATTTGTGTTATATGGAGTATTATAAAATTCTGATTTTGTGAGATTCGTTTTTTAAAGTGTGAGGGAAAATAGAACATTAGACCATTTCCCTAGTGTCCTATAAATTACAGATATGTTTATAGTCACAGTAGTTTAAAACAATCTGAAGAATTCAGCGTTCACCAAAATAAGTAAATAAATAAATAAATAAGCAGCTAAAGGAGCAGATCCTGTAACTGGAAGGGACTTTAAGAGTCTTTGAAATAGGCCCATGACTTTGTGTCCAAGTGGTCTTTCTTAATTACCATTTTTACAGAAAGCCCAAGCTGAGAGGATCTGATTTTCCTGTCACATGGAAAAAATGTCAGGAGTGTAAATAGAATTCAGGTTTCTTACCTCCTGGTAAAATGTTTGCTCAGTTTTTGATGATAAAGATGAGAGCTGGAGAGGCCAGCACAAGAGTGTGTGGTGGGGCAAAACAGATCTTGACATCCTTCAAGAATCTGAAAAGCTCTCACTGTGTCCCTGGCATTCTCAGGTGAGGAAAGACTGATAGTTGGCAGCTGGCTGGCCCGCTCCATTTCCCATAGGAAACCAGGGGGAAAGCCATTGCCTGAGGTCTTGCTAGTATAAGGCGTGGCATGTGGGAACACTGGGAGTGGAGTCGTCTCTCACCGGTCCATTAGCATCACCAGATTCATAGAACAAAGGGGAAAAGTTCCCAAACCTTATTTACCTATGGAGAGCCTTGCGCTGAGAAGTTTCACTACCGGTTAGACAGGTGCTGTTTCCCTATGAACACCTTCTCACCGGGTGTGAGAGACTTGGTGAACATGAAATAGCACTCTGGGGTGACATCAGTGAATGAGGTCATGTAGCCTGGATACCTCACCTACCTCCATCCATGCGGACACCTACCGCATTGGGCAAGCAGACCAGGGCGTCTGCTCCTGGGCTAGTGAGGGAGATGCGTCACTGAACAGCCAGCCTTTCTATTTCCTGTTTTCAAGACTGACCCAGCTCCGTCCCACTTGCCAACCGCAATGAGTTATCTCTACAAATGTGTTATCACCTTTCCACCAATTTGCAGTCAAGTCTTGGGCTTTTTTAAAGGTGACTTTGCATCTCTTTGCTCTAACCAGTGGTATGCATTTTTAAAAGTTAGGTTCTCAGACAGCAGTTTTATTTCCAGATTTTTTTTTCAGGGTAATTTTATGATGGAGACATGTAATGCTTATCATGTCTGAGAGATTTAATGCAACTTTTTTTCTTGAAATATCTTTAAATATATAATGTATTCCTAATAGTTGTGCCCAAACAGATACAAGTTCTAATTACTGTAAAGGTGCAAAAAGTGTTAGATTTACTCAAATATGTTGTGATTTACTATGAAAATAGCCTCATGGATTTGCTGTTTACCATACAATGATGGAGAAGTTCCAGTCCATGATCAAAGATGGTGTTGGAGATTCTGCAAGTGAATTTGTTTTACTGTTAAATCCTATAGGAATGAGTTAGATTTTTTTCTTTGAAAACTTATTCCACTGAATAACCACAATTAGCATTTTAGATAGCTGCAGTGAAAATTTTCCATAAATGAATCTCCATATGAGTGCAAAAAAACGGGGGAGGGGCGCCTCCCCCGGTGGTGCAAGAAGTTAAAGTCTCAAAAGCTATCTGCAGCCACTGTAGCATGAGTTCGATCCTGGGCCAGGGAGGTGACCCACATGGCTCAGCAGACCTCTCCTGTCTCTTCCATTGCTCCTCTCAGCAGTGTATTTCAGTAAATTTGCCTGTTCTGCTCTCCATTCTGTCTCTGGTGAATCCTTTCACTCCCAACCCCATCTCTGACCTACACCTCAGTTCTTATATGTGTAAATAAATAAAAATAAATCTTTAAAAAAATATATAACTAACCTAAAGGATTTTTATTTAAAATGTTTGTTCAAAAGGCAGTCAGTTTGACTCCAATGTAATTTATAATTTTGGTTAAAAAATGGGCTTATCATGGAAGGAGAACAACCTGTTTTATATTCACAACTAAAAATTACATTTTATTGAAGTTCCTGAGCAAAGGTGGCTTCCCCAGTCCCCACCTCCTGGGATGGATCTTCAAGGCAGGAGGAGGTAGGATCTGATAGCAGAAGGTAGAATCCTGTTGGCTAAGGGAAAAATGTCTGTGGTGGATGAACGAAAAGCTTCTAGCTGCACTATGCACCTTGTCATAGCTAAAACTTTTGTGGGAAGACTAGCACAAAAAGCTAATGACTTAGAAGTCAAGTTTCCCTTGTAGACTAACTTCATGGCCACTTTCAGTATTGACTGTCAATTTTAGGAACTCTTTGGAATGAAGGGGTAACTCTTTGGTAAGGGGTAACTATGATGGGAGAAAAACAATCGTAGCAGGTCTCACAATGCTGAGGTTTTGGTTATTTAATAGCCAAATGCCTTTCCTCTGGGTGTAAAGACATAAAACATTTAAGGAAGTGCCTCAGCTATGCTGTAAAAGAAACTTATATTAGTCGTGGCTATTGAAAAATCAATCACAGTTTTCATAAGGGAAGGGAGATAGTTGGGTCTGATTTTCAAGCTCATTGATTGCTCAAATATCCTCTTTCATCAATGTATTCTTTCGCATTCTCAGACCAGTCAGTGGTTGTGCAAAAACAGCATTCTTCTATCGTGCTAGCAGAGATGGTCCTGTGGAGTTTACACAGCCTCTTTGAGATCATTATGCTTATGTATATATCTACATATGTGTATGTATGTACATAGATATATAATATAGACTGTGTATGCAAACACACATGTTTATGTACATATTCCCTCTACTCTAAAATATTTAGATTTTAATTTTGAAAGGCTTTCTCATTGTATGGTGCAACTTCTTCATGTATTTCATACATACCGAGAATGTTTTACAGTCACCAAAGAAGCATTGTAGTTTCACAATAAGTATCTGAAATGCAGGTGTGAAGTTAGCTAAAGTACTGGTTGGGGAGGAAGCAGCCATTCATGAGCCCAAACTCTCATACAGACAGGAGACAGCAGTTCAGAGGCCAAAGATAGGGATGTTTTGAAAATATCCTCAAACAAGATGAAAGAAGTTCTTTGGACTTTTGAAAATGCCCCCGAAAGTGAATGAAAACAGCAGCATTCATTCTTTTATTAGCATTCTGCCTCACCTGCTACTAGAAGGACTTTGCTGAATTGACACAGACAATAATGTATCTATATTCCTTTAAGCAATTGAAACTACCATGTTGGCGTGTGTTTGAGGATCCTAGATCCTAGAGGTGATTGTGTATATATACAGCTGGAGTGCATTGGTGCAACGCTGGCTTCTTCATGCCTCTGGAGGCTCTGGGGGAAACCCTGTTTCTTTTCTCACAATGACTGGGTGCACCTATGTAGCCCAGAGGAACTTGGGCAACTCGGAAGTTCTCAAGCTTAGCAAGGAGATGTCAAAATGAGGGCAACAGAGTGACACTTCCTCCGTTCAGGGCAGCTCTCCTTGCACGGTCCTCCCTCCCCCAGAGTTAAGTCCAGGTCTGTTCTAACAATAGACAATTCTTCTCTAGCACTAGTAATTTGTATTGACATGTTCATCCAGTTCATCCTCTGCCTCTCTGCTTGACAGCAAGCTCCTCGAGCGTGAGACGCCGCGTTCATTTTCCTTTTCCAGGCATTGCTCCAGTGCCTGGCGAGCTGCATGTATTCAACCAACATTTCTGATGAGGTCAGAGTGGTCTTGCTTTGTCTCCCTGCTGTGAATCCCAACAGGTAGGAGAATCCCAACAGGTAGGAATCCTAACAGGTAGGAGACAGCCATGAGAGGGAAGAGGGCCGGTCAGAAAGTTCTGAGACAGTGGGACTCAACCCTGGGAAGGGATGCACAAATAAGCTGAATTGGAAGAGGTATAGGAGTGGAGAAACCCGGAGGCTCTAAGAACACAAGCAGCACTGACAAGTGGGTACCTTTTATAAAACTTGCTGCCTGGGGCCCTCCCTGGTGGCAAAAGGGGTTAAAGGGCAGCACTGTGAGGTTACCTGTAGCCACTGTGTTACAGGGCACCCCAGTGTGAACTGGGCTGCCTGTCTGTGGGGTCTTATTGTGCCTAAAATTTAGTTGTACTGCAGACACACACAAAAGGGTCAATAATGGGTTTATTTACAAAAGGGGAAGGAAAAGGAAAAACCCAGGAAAAGAGAGGAAGATACAAGGTAACTAGACTATCTTACTGGCTGGCTGACTTGGAGCTCTGGTAACAAAGCCCCCAGTCACACCTTGCACAGAGCCAGTTCGTTTCCTGAGCCAGGGAGCTCATTGGACAAAAATGGTGCCCTATTTATCCCTCAAAGTCCCAGAATGCCGCTTAGCTCCGCCCTTGGGTCCTCGCAGTTCTCTCCCTGGTACTGCTGGGAGTTGTAGTTTCCAATCACTGGAGTAGGGGGTAGAGTCCAGAGAGCTGGAGTAGGAGGTGAAGTTCACAAAACTGCAGAGTTCCTTTAGGACTCCCTTTCCCGTAACAGTGGCAACATGAGTTTGATTCCTGGCCAGGGAGCTGACCCACAAGGTGCAGCAGACCTCTCCTGGCCACCGCCCCCCCCCCCTTTCAGCAGTGGATTTCACTCCACTAGTCTGTCCTGCTCTCCACTCTGTCTCTCACTGCCCCTGCACCTCTGGCCTGTGCCCCAGTGCTTGTGTGCATAAATAAATACATCTTAAAAAAAAAAAAAAAAAAGCAAACTTGCTGCCTGATTGTGTGATTCTCGCCTGAAATATCTGAAATATCATAGAGTTTGTGACTTATATTCCCTTCTCTTACTCCTTCAGCTCAATGTGTCAGGAAGAGGCCTGGGCATGGACACATGAGGAGAAAAAATGATTATGGGCACTAAAGGGATGTCTGATGAGACCAACTTTGCAGATACCACAGTCATATTAGGACTGAGCCCTTCTTATTATAATCTTGGTGGATTTTCTTTCTTTTTTCTTTTTTGTAGTTCACGAAGCATTCATTTTATGTGGCATGATCTCAAGACACATTGTGAAGTCAGCAGCTTAGAATCCTGGCCCCATTGTGCAGATGAGGAAATGGAGGCTCATAAGAGTTTGATTGATCCTAGATTGAAAACAAGAAAATTAAATTTTTTGAGGACTTGCTATGTGTGTGAAGAGGCGCTACACGAAGCCCTTTGTATTTAGAGTGTGTAATCCATACCACATGAAAATCCCTCATGAAAAGGGCAACTATTATTCCTGTTTTACAGATGAGGAGACAGAGACCTGAGGAGTGATTGCTCAAATTGCATAACCAAGAAGGGTAGAAGCAGGCTTCAAACCAAGGTGTTTAAACAGGCAGAGGCTAAGCCACGAGGCTAGTCAGCTACCTCAGGAGGTGTTCGCTTGTGATTGATACTGTTGGTTTTCTGACTCCTCCTTCTAGTCTGCTAATTGATAATCCCACTTTTTTTTTTTTAAGATTTATTTATCCATACAGAACTGGGGTACAGGCCAGAGGTTCAGGGGCGGTGAGAGGCTTCA